TCCTTGAGTGCTCAAGTGGCGACTACCTGGAGTTTGTGAAGATGATGGATGTGTGCTCCCTGTTCAACACCGTGGACGAGATGATCAAGGAGGTAGGAGTTGTGCTCTTGCAGGCAACAGAGATGAAGACGCTGATGCATGACCGAGCCAAAGGCGCTATGTCAATGAACATACTGTTCTGGGCAATGGAGGAGGCCGAGTCGGCCGGTCAGGTCAGAGAACTAGATGGGCCAAGTAAAGCTCTGTCGTAGCTCCTGCTGACCAGGAGATCGTTGCGGTGACGCCGCCCACAATTGTTCTCGAGGATGACGACGAGGAGGAGATGGTGGATGTTGGCAATGCCGAAGCGGTCGAGATGGTGGCTTGGGTTACTGAGCCTAGCTGCTCTACAATGCCGTTGGAGGTCAATGACTACCAGCGTCAAAGCTACTGTCGCTCGAGGCGCCTCCAGGCCCGTCGCGCATAGTCAAAATCAAGGGATTTAAGGGGATTGTCATTGATTTAACCTCATTTTACTCCAAATCCTTCCCGATCCCCTTGTGCGGACTAATCGAGCAAGCCCCAGATCAATGACTAGATCTCTCTCTCTCTCTGTGTGTGTGTGTGTGTGTGTTTAACCGATGTCTAAATTGATTTTTCTCCATTTAGTCTATGCTTAAATGGAACTCTCTCTATTTAGTCGATGGGTAATTAGATGCCTACACTGATCCCTGCGAAGGCATGGAGAGATGGCTTACCACCATTGACGAAAGCGTGGCGGAGAGATGATGAATCGGTGATGAAGATAGTGCTAGTCAAAATCAAGTGATTTAAGGAGATTGTCATTGATTTAACCCCCTTTTAGTCAAAATCCTTCTCAACCCCCTTGTGCGGAACTAACCGAACAAGCGCTAAATCGATTACTAAATCGATCTCGCTCGGTTTAATCGATGCCTAAATCGCTCGAATTAATCGATGCTTAAATTGATCTTTCTCCATTTAATCGATGCCTACATCTATCTCTCTCCGATTAATCGATGCGTGTAGTTTAATCGATGGGTAAATCGATGCCTAGATTGATTCCTGTGAAGGCATGGAGAGATGGCTTACAGCCATTGACGAAGGCGTGGCAAAGAGGTGCTGAATCGGTGATGAAGGCGGTGCTAGTCAAAATCGAGGGATTTAAGGGGATTGTCATTGATTTAATCTCCTTCTAGTCAAAATTCTTCCCAACCCCTTGTGCGGACTAATCAAACAAGCCCTAAATCGATCTCAATATGTTTAATCGATGCCTGAATCAATCTCTCTCCACTTATCTGATGCCTAAATCAATCTCTCTCCGCTTAATCGATGCCTAAATCGATCTCTCTCCGTTTAATTGATGTGTGAAGTTTAATCGATGGGTATATCGATGCCTACATTGATCCCTACGAATGCGTGGAGAGATGGCTTACCACCATTGATGAAGGTGTGGCGGAGAAGTGATGAAGCTGGTGTTCGCCATGCAGATCTTGCCTCCTACGATGGTCACCGCCGTCGGTGAGAGTGTGGAGAGAGGGGGAGGGGAGTGGGAGGTGAGAGGATTTATGGCCGCATCGGGCAACAACGCGACGTCTCTCGTGTGACCCTGCGCGTCTAGCCGCCGTCGGTGAGAGAATGGAGAGAGGGGGGAGGGGAGTGGGCAGTGAGAGGATTTATGGCCGCATCGGGAAACAACACGACGTCTCTCACGTGACCCTACGCGTCCAGCCGCCTGTAGTCACGTGCAGTCGCTTGCATTGTGCGGGCCTGACTTGCTGAAAACGAGCGACTTGGTTGTTCCTCCAGATCCAGACCCATCGATATTTTAATTTTCATGTCATGCAGGCCTAACAATATAAGCATGGATTCAAACAGGCCAAATTTGGTTCCGGGAGCCTGTATAGGCCTCATGCAACCTACCAAACATGACATAAATTTTAACATTTTCATGATGAGTCTAGTTGCTACTTGATGGGAATACACCCTCAGAAGAGTTGTCGTACCATGTATGCATAGTCTCCTCTCATTGTCGGAAGGATTTTGGAATGGTGATAAGTCGGTTAATTGTTGGTTGTTGCTATAGACAGTGCAATTGCATATTTATATCAGGCAATATATTAGTTGCATGCGAATATTAGGTATGATATCACGTTGAGCATTCGTCATTGGAGCAATCTATGTCACTGAATTGGTGTGGATTGATGGCCGATTAGATCTGTCCCTTATCTTTTTATATTTGTATATCAATTTAGAAAAGTCAAAATAATTTTGAAGCTTTTTGGAATCAAACATGATAGGGTATTACACGTGCGAAAAGTAATTCTCAAGAATCAAACATGAACATACACTTGTGCGAAAAGTAATTCACAAAACTTTTCATATGAGCGTAACACCTGATGATGCTTGATTCCAAAATAATTCAGAAGTTTTTACTTCTAAAATTTTCTAAATTATTTTACAGTTCTGGTGCATCGGCACCCAAGTATCAAACGCCACTATATTTGAGCCCAGCGGAGCACACCATTCCGTTTAGTACATCTCAACCGCGAAGCATTCAGACCTCCTTTGCTGTGGAGCAATTTTGTAAGACAGAATTTCTATAGGAAAAAACCATTTACTGTTTTTGAGAGCGGCGATAGAGCACACGGGCTCGCCTGCTCCCGCTAGATTTTAGGGGAGGAAAAGGTACGCAACGTGCAACAGTATCATACGGTGACTTTGCCGTTTGATATAACGTTGGCTTGACGGTACACCATGCCGTTTCATACAGACGCAGCTATTGGAGGTTCCGAGCAGTGCTGGTGCATGCATGAAAAATCGATGGATTCCAGCTTTTCCTTCAGGCATGTGGTGAAACTACGTGCATGCATAGCTGATGCATGATTTTTGTCCACTACTTCGTACTTGATCTGGTCTTGACAAGCTTTCTTTTATCTCTATCCTACTCAGGTGTTCTTCGCAGAATATGTGGATTTCAAAGACGATAACGTGACTGCAAAGTTTAGCCGCTTACACCACGGACAACCTGAAAGAATTGTTCACTTTGGCAAGCCATAGTAGCCTGAAGTTCAAAGTGAGTATCTCGCCTAAAAAATTCTGTTTTACGTCAGGCTAATCGTGTTTTTAGTTGCTAACTCTAGTTCACATCTTTCGCACACATGAACAAAAGACAATGCCGATACATTCTATCTCTGCAACTGCCTGAGACATCCATCCAACACTGCTCCAAGGCTACACATATTCAGTTGATTCAGTGAAGTTTACTGCCGAACAGTTTATTAATTCGGAAGTGTGCTGAAAGATTCACAATGATGTACCGTATTTTGCTACAAATCACGCACCAGCAGGCCTGGAGTTGTCCCATGAACACCAACCTCAGTGCAGCGACCTTGTGCATCAGATATTTGGCGCCTTGATGAACATGTTGGAGTCTCGTACAATGAATTCATTGACAGGCTTGCCGCTACGCAAGGTGCCAGCCCAGCCACACAGGATGTGCTTGTTGTTGCAAGTCCATTTCACCCGGACACACTTGATCTCTTCAGGTCTGCACTGGTCGCCCCATTGCCCGCCAATGCCTTTCCACTTGCGCAATCGCAGCTACATGACAGACACAACAGATCAACCCACCTAGACGAAAAAACGTCTGTGATCAAGCGTTACAAAGAGGCTGGATTGGAAGAAACAAAAATATCACACATATTGGTGGTCGATGGACAAACTACTGCATAAAGTAGCACGTCGGCCCCAGTTGTTGATCTTCCGATAGCTACTAATCATCAGCAAACAGAGAACACTCCACTGGCAGGTTAGTGTAGCAAAAAACTGCACGAATATACCTGAGTGTGTGCTCTCCTGTGATGTTGTGTGAGACGGTTTTATAAATTTGTCGTTGCCTTGCAAACTTGCAGGGACTGCTCGTGCACGGGCCTCAAGATCAGCAGTACCATTAATTTCATACCACTGTCATCGATCTCAGCGTTCCATGTGTGCCTTGGATTTACAAAAATAAAACTTTAGTGAATCTGTGGCTTTTTGCTAAATTGGTGATCTGACTTTTACTTAAATGGTATCGCACGAAACAAATGAGGACCATGCATAGACCAGCCATGGTGCCATCAGCTTCTTATGTGAGCACACCAGCCATGGTAACCCCATCAATGAACGCGCCATTCATGGATCCAGGTGCGTGGTTGACACCTGTTAAGCAACCCGTTGCAAAATGAATCCACTGACTAACTTGTAAACCACAACGCTTGTTTTAGTTTTTATTTATGCTGACATAAGTCCCTCCCTATAACTCTTGAATTAAGAATTCCACAATAACAGGGTCTACTCGATGTTAATTAGGCGTAAATGAAACTTTAGCAAAAATCTCGTAAAACAAAAAGGATATTTAATTTATATAATATCAACTCATTAATGAAAATTGAGGGCATGCCTTATTGTCTTGATACACGGCTGTTGTTGGTGTGGCATGGAGTGAACCAATCTGGGATACGAGTCCAAGGTCAGCTCGATATGATGCAACACATGGCGTCATCTTGTTGGCAGTAGGTAAATCTTGATTTGAATTATCTTTGTCTTTTGCCCACACCTGAAGTAAACAAAAAAACTTGAACATGCCAATGACAGTCACCACAAAACTAACTTGAGTGTGGCTGGAAAAATTGCATGAACAACTGTCTCGCACCTGTCTGAAACTATTGAGAAGATCTGAAACTTCTGTGGATACCTGACTATACCAAAAATCTGATGATGAGTCTAGCCTTGCATATATATGAAACTTCTGAATCAACACGCAGTTGCCACAGGCGCCTCCCCTACCCTGATCGCACCTCCAGCAAGAAGTGGAAATCACAACATGCTTGCGACTGCTGCTGTTCATGCACCATTTCCATGTGAACGGCAATAGCAACTCGCCTTTTAGCCTCCTTGGTGTACCCGGGAGAGCATGAGTCTATTGAAAAAGAAGAAGAAAAAGATGCGAACTGGGTGCCCTGCAGCGGCATTGACTGATGATGCGGACTGGGTGCCCTCCGGCGCGCTATTCTGCTGCCCCTAGGCCCCCTACGGTACGTGCGGCAGCTACAGATCTTGAACTCCCAAGGCTTGGGCACCTTGCTCCTGTGGTGGCTCGATTTGCGCCAATGGGGGTGCGGCTGGACCAAGCAAGGCGAGGTGGTCGGCGAAAGCTTGCTGCCACCTGTAGAAATCGCATCAACCACCTAACGGCTCACGTTCATCGGCAAAAAAGGCCACGAAATGAAATATTGAATGTTGGAAATATGCCCTAGAGGCAATAATAAATTGGTTATTATTATATTTCCTTGTTCATGATAATCGTTTATTATCCATACTATAATTGTATTGATAGGAAACTCAGATACATGTGTGGATACATAGACAACACCATGTCCCTAGTAAGCCTCTAGTTGACTAGCTCGTTGATCAATGGATGGTTAC